GAGAGAAAATGAAAGAGAGAACAATTTAGAAAGTATGAAAGAGAGAAAAAAATTACAAAGAATAAAAATAGAAAGAATGAAGGAAAAATTTATAAAGAATGAAAATAATTGATAAACAATGAAAGAAAAAAGAAACACTTTGGAATAAATGGAAGTGAGAAAATCTTTTGAAGGAATTATAGAGAGGTAAAATTAAAAAAAGGATGAAGGAGTAAAATATTCAGAAAGGATGAAAAAGTGAAAAAAATAAAATAAATGAAAGAAAGAAACGTATAAAAAAATGAATGAAAAACATACATTGAAAGAGTGAAAAAATTTACAAAGAATGCATGATAGAAAAAAGAGAAAGTGAAGAGAGAAAAAAATGAAAGTTAGAAAATCGTTAGATGGAATGAAATCTTCTGAAAGTCTTATGTCAGTGAATGCTCTTCACAGATGGAGAAGAGACTTGGAATAATACAGATGTGATATTGAGTGATGGGAATCATATGGACAGAACATGAGAGAAACGATGAAAGCTAACGATGAAGTCCGAAAAAAAAAACAGTTGCAATTTAGGGGACATTTGTATAGGCATATATACACGTGCTGGTCAATACGTTTGCAGCATGACACATAGGGATTAGATATATTTTGATCTGAAATTTTCCTTTTATATTCGGTTGGTGCATAATTATCAGGTGTTTGTTTTTAAGAATATTTATTATGAAAAAAAGAAACATAATTCAAAAATAACATTTTTAAATGATTATTCCGCAGCGTATGATTATCGACACGCATTTTTATAACCTGAAAATAAAATAATATTTTTATTACGAAATTAAACAAGACAGCAATTTTTATCAACAAATAACACGCCAACAAAAGCATCTGATAATTGTGCACCAACCGAATAGGTTGTTTTTTACAGGTTACAGATTATGACTTTCTCTACCGATTATTGTGGTTGTCATTATAATTTGCTTTCTCTTCAAAACAATCAGTTACCATCACGTTATAATCTTTACATAAATAAAGCAACTAATGTTAAGATGACAGAAATATTAGCTTAGTGCATAATTAGCAGGCGTTTTTTAAATATAAAGAAACAACAAATCAACAATACCATTTTAAATGATTATTCCGGAGCGTATGATTATCGACACGCATTTTTATAACTTGAAAATAAAATAATATTTTTATTAAAAAAAGAAACAAAAAAGAATTTTTTATTAACAAATAACTCGCCTACAAAAACGCCTGATAATTATGCACAATATAATTCGATATTTAGGAATGAATTACGTGCAGTTAGAATTCGGGAGATTATTATCAGAAAATAAACATTTCTTCTGTTTTTCCTTTTAAAGCAGCGGACGTTTTATGCTTCTACGCATTTGGCATCATTATAAACATTATGGTTTTGTAGATATACATATTTGAGTAGATGTTTTGCTTTTCTTGTTTTTTGTTATCTTTTTAAACAATTGGAATTAGATTGATTCTCGAAGCATAGATTAGATGTAGCACAAGGCCGAAAGTAGGGGGCTCCCGTTTTAGCGAGACAAGCTTGCTAACCATTCAGCACCTCGAGGTGCCATACTGATTTTCTAAGCGTAGCTTAGATGTGGCACAAGGCCGAAAGTATGAGTCACCCAGTGAGGATCGAACTCACAATTCAGTCGTAGCTGATTGAGCAAGACAAGTTTGCTAATCACTGCACCACGCTGAGGTGTCTAGATGGTTATTTTCTAAGCGTAGCTTAGATGTGGCACAAGAGCGAATGTAGGATACACACAGTGAGAATCGAATTCACTATTCAGTCGTAACTAACCTAACGAGACAAGCTTGCTACTTATTATGCCACGTCGAAGTACCAACAGTTGGGGTTATAATCTACTTGCCTGTGCATTATGAGTGTTTTCATAAAGGAAATGCGATCGCCAGCCGGGTTTGAATATGCGTCTTCCGTTTTACGGAAACCACCGACACTTCCGGTTTGCTTTAAACCACTCAGCCGCAAAAAAATACTTAGTCTACATCCTGTCACCCTTATAAAAAGAACGCAGGTTACGATTTAACTCATAAGACTCTCATAATGTAAGCCAGTAGATGTAATTCATATTTTTAAGAAAAAAAAGAGAAAGAAGGTTACAGTAACATATTATCATGTTTATTTTCGTCATTTAAACATCATAATCTTTCATATTCAGAAAAACACTCGCCCATATTAGTATAAGAAGCCGAATATACAGGTTGCGATGAATGAATTGTCTAAATGACGCAAAAAAATGAAAATAACATAGGCATCTCATTTAAACAAATATATTTACCAAAATTATTCAAAAATATCTTGAAATACTAAAGAGTAAATCTATTCAATAAAATCACCATTGGCTTTAACTACAGCTTCCAAACGACTTTGGAATCTTCTGAATCTCTTCTGGACGGTCTCCTTGTTTAATATGGTGAATGCTGCCATAATCCAATTTTGGTTTTAAAAGAAGTTTTCTTGGTCTCTTGTTCAACTGCGCCTCACACATCATAATCAGCGGGGTTGCAGTCTGGTGAGTTAGACGGCCAGATATAACGGATGATATGGTCGTAGAAATGATCTGCTTCTGTGACATGGTACAGAATCCGGTTGCCAAACATAGGATCTTCCAACAGACACGCTCTTGATCCAGGACAGCAATACCTACTCAAGGCGTTTGATGCAGGTCTGGGTTTTGAGTTTGAGGCTTTGTGGGAAGATGGATGGAGCCATAATGTCACCATCACTAGTGATCACTCCAAATAGCTTCGTAAGGACCATTAGACTCATCCAACACTTTCCGATTCGTCTGCCCTCATATTGACACCTAAACACTCTGAAATGTTCGTTTTGGAGTTACCGTTATGACGGCTAAAAATTACATCATGCCGTTTTTTTCTGTCAGAAAAAATTGCGTCATGGTGCTCTTTTTATCACAGACGTTGCCCAACTGGTCAGCGTATAACGTGCAGTCGACAAAATCTAAAGTCCATTAAAAATATCGACAATTTACTCATCGACCATATATATATATAAAGACATTTTTATGCTTATACGTTCTTTTTATAGATACAAATATTTAAGTAAATGCCCTGTTTATAATAAACAGTATTAACAACATTGACTGAGTTGAATGTCCGAGAGATTTTCATAGAAAATATGCGTCCTCCGACTGGAATCGAACCTGTATCCTATACGGAACCGTCATAAAGCCTGACGTGCTTTTACCGATTGAGCCACAGAGGAGAGTGTCGGTTAGCAAGGTCTATTTTACTTTTTTTTTTTGAATAGACGTTCCGTTTAGTTATTAAACTGTATATTTACGTATTTTCGTCTCCAGGCCTGCATATTTGAGAAATTTTATTAAGGAAAAGTATGTTCTCTCCGGCAGGTTTCGAACTTGCGCACAGTAGAAACGTTATTAGTGCCGAAGTAATTTAACCGCCTCAGCTACGAAGCAGCCTTGAGCAAAATTTGAAAGGTGACTTTAAGTGAAATACTTCCTGCAATAAATTTCTCGAAATTTTCATATCTACTTAGTTTTGTATCCAAAAGCAAACAAAGTGCTTTTCTAAAGTAATTGATTTGATTTATCAGTATGACATATTTTTATCACTTTAAACGTTATTTTTAGTTTATCTGATTTGACTCTCCAATTATTTAGTAAACATTATATTTTTTTTTTATTTTCGTCTTCTGGTCTGAATTTTCAAGAAACCTTATTATGCGTTGGAGCCGACTCGGTAACGGAACGTCGGATCTATCTATCTATCTATCTATCTATCTATCTATCTATCTATCTATCTATCTACAAGAATACAAAGTATTTATTTCACAAATGAACAAGCGGTAGGGGATGTTAATTTTGACATCTATCTATCTATCTATCTATCTATCTATCTATCTATCTATCTATCTATCATTGTTCTATCTATCATTGTTATCTATCTATCTATCTATCTATCTATCTATCTATCTATCTATCTATCTATCTATCTATCATCATTTTACATTCATCTATCTATCTATCTATCTATCTACAATAATACAAATGATTATTTCACATATGAACAAGCGGTCGACCATGTTAATTCTGACATCTATCTATCTATCTATCTATCTATCTATCTATCTCATCTATCTATCTATCTACTAAGAATACAAAGTATTTATTTCACAAATGAACAAGCGGTAGGCGATGTTAATTTTGACATCTATCTATCTATCTATCTATCTATCTATCTATCTATCTATCTATCATTGTTAAGTATCTATCTATCTATCTATCTATCTATCTATCTATCTATCATTGTTAAGTATCTATCTATCTATCTATCTATCTATCTATCTATCTATCTATCTATCTACAATAATACAAATGATTATTTCACATATGAACAAGCGGTCGACCATGTTAATTCTGACATCTATCTATCTATCTATCTATCTATCTATCTATCTATCTATCTATCTATCTATCTACAAGAATACAAAGTATTTATTTCATAAATGAACAAGCGGTAGGCGATGTTAATTTTGACATCTATCTATCTATCTATCTATCTATCTATCTATCTATCATTGTTAAGTATCTATCTATCTATCTATCTATCTACAATAATACAAATGATTATTTCACATATGAACAAGCGGTCGACCATGTTAATTCTGACATCTATCTATCTATCTATCTATCTATCTATCTATCTATCTATCTATCTATCTATCTATCTATCTATCTATCTACAAGAATACAAAGTATTTATTTCACAAATGAACAAGCGGTAGACCATGTTAATTTTGACATCTATCTATCTATCTATCTATCTATCTATCTATCTATCTATCTATCTATCTATCTATCTATCTATCTATCTATCATTGTTAAGTATCTATCTATCTATCTATCTATCTATCTATCTATCTATCTATCTATCTATCTACAATAATACAAATGATTATTTCACATATGAACAAGCGGTCGACCATGTTAATTCTGACATCTATTCTATATCTATCTATCTATCTATCTATCTATCTATCTATCTATCTATCTACAAGAATACAAAGTATTTATTTCATAAATGAACAAGCGGTAGGCGATGTTAATTTTGACATCTATCTATCTATCTATCTATCTATCTATCTATCTATCTATCTATCTATCATTGTTAAGTATCTATCTATCTATCTATCTATCTACAATAATACAAATGATTATTTCACATATGAACAAGCGGTCGACCATGTTAATTCTGACATTCATCTATCTATCTATCTATCTATCTATCTATCTATCTATCTATCTATCTATCTATCTATCTATCTACAAGAATACAAAAGTATTTATTTCACAAATGAACAAGCGGTAGACCATGTTAATTTTGACATCTATCTATCTATCTATCTATCTATCTATCTATCTATCTATCTATCTATCTATCTATCTATCTATCATTATTATCTATCTATCTATCTATCTATCTATCTATCTATCTATCTATCTACAATAATACAAATGATTATTTCACATATGAACAAGCGGTCGACCATGTTAATTCTGACATCTATCTATCTATCTATCTATCTATCTATCTATCTATCTATCTATCTATCTATCAGCGTTAGAGTTATGACCAATAATATATAGCCTGATACAGTTATTATCAAATTTCATATTTGGAGGCTTTCACCAGCATATATCTCATTCGATGTGACCAAGTGGGAAGCATTGGTTGAAAACCATGTATATGATGACGGTGAAAATATATATAATATTCTGTGAAATTCATTCTATATTCACCATTTATTCTTATAGTTTTTTTAATGATACTTCCTCATGACTTTATCGAACAAAGTTTTACTCCTGATATTAAAGAACGTCTTTCAAACGCATGTAATTCTTATTATTAAGGTGATTTTTTTGTTTTTTTAAGTCTTGTATGTGATCATAAATAACGAAACATTTAAAACCCATCCATTCTAGAAATTTTTTCTTCCCTATAATCAGCTCTTCTCAAATCATTCACTGCAAAAGTGTAATTTTTCCATGATTAATTTCCATAAACTTCAAACCTCGTTTACATGAAAAATACCGACGGCCACGTAGGCTGGTTAACGAAAGTGTCAAAATGTCATCTTCTGGCCGACAAATTAAAGGATTTGCAAAGGAATAAATTAAAATTTAAAACTTACAAATAGAACTTCCTTTTTTTTAAAATTCCGCTTTCGATTCGTTTTCTCTTAGTCAATATTTAATCTAAGGACAAGAAAGTGATCGTCTCTCTATTCAGACAGGAGAGTGAGGATAAATTTTAAATGGCGATGTAATCATCTGTATTGGTATTTCTTATTATATAAGGATTTTTTTAATTTTTTTTATTTCTTAAATGACCATTTTGGTAAATGATGTATAAAAAAAAAAAAAAAAAAAAAACGAAACCATAAAAACAAAATAATAAAAAAAAAAGAAAACAAAGACAACAGAGAATTGTGTCTCGCCAGAAGCCAGGTTTTAAATTGCTGTTTCTTGAAGCGAAAAAATAAGAGAGATATAACGCTCTACCGCTGTTTGGTAACAACAACAAAAAATAATCATATAATTCTTTACATATCTACATTTATTCCTGAACATTGACCTTCCGTTTCTCTTTAAGTCCCTGTGCATCTCTATATTAAAATGATTTGCTAAGCTATTCCATAATAAAATGATTTGTAATGCATTACCATATTAAACTCATTCATGATGCATATATACCTCGGTCGTGACAATGACAACGATTGATAGAAAGTTTTAATATGGAAATACAATGATAGAAAAGTTTGAGGCAATCTAATGAGATTAAAGAAAGCATATATACAATTTTCGCAATCAATTTTTCTTTTAAAAAGTATTTATTTCGGCCCCTGGACTCCGCATGCGAGCAAACGTATCAGATTAAAAAATTAAAATCTTTTAACTCTAAGGAAATTGATTTGTTTATATTTTGAAGAAGAAACTGATGAGCTATGACTTTCGAGAAAATATGTATGAGTGAAAACTAGAACCTTGTGTCATTATATATATATATATATATATATATATATATATATATATATATATATATATATATGCAGGCGTCGATAGCCTAGGAGTCAGAATCTCCGACTGATGGGTTTCGGTCTCGGCTTGAAGCGATCAGTTGCCTAACTACACTGAGACGAGCAGCGAAACAGTTTTTCTGTGGATGTATATATATATGTTCTGTCAAATGATTTTAATTTTCTTTTTTGTGCTTATTAACATACACAAGAACCTGGCATAATACGGACATTAGATTCTGAGAGATGGATAAAAATATTAAAATTTGATGAGTGAACGAATAATTTCGTCGTTGACGGTATATATATATATATATATATATATATATATATATATATATATATACAGAGAGAGAGAGAGAGAGAGAGAGATTAAAATATATCACAATATGTGATGGTGTTAATAAAGCACTGATCCTCATACCAATACGACTGAGTACTTAAATAAATAAATATATATATATATATATATATATATATATATATATATATATATATATATATATATATATATATATATATATATATATAAATATATACAGAGATAAAGAGAGTGAGAGCGAGAGAGAAAGGTCAGAGTGTGAGTGAGAACGTAATTTTGTCTTTAATATGATTTCTCGAACATCCATCCCGGTAGACGAAAATCAATAAATATAGGGTTTGATAAATAAATTGAGTGTCTACCTGAATAAATTTTAAAATGATGAACATATATATATATATATATATATATATATATATATATATATATATGTGTGTGTGTGTGTGTGTGTGTGTGTGTCTGTGTGTGTGTGCAATACAGATTTGTAAAAATGTTCATGAAAGTATCTTTCGTGTAATATCCGATAATATATTTCGCCTATAATGGCTTCATCAAATAGTTAGTGAAATATGTTCTTTGTGTGTGTACGCATTTGTGTGTGTTCACAATAATTAGATCTTCTAAATTATTTTCGAGAGATATTTTCATGATTGTTTATTCAAATTTCAATAACTTAGAACTGTGCCGGGATTACATGACCAAATTTATTATATATATATATATGAATAAAAATGACAATAAGAAAACTGGTAATTGCTGACGCGTTTCGTACAAGGTGGTCTTTATCTAAGCAAAATACGAAAATGAAATTACCAGTTTTCCTATTGTCATTTTTATTCATAAATATTGTCTTCTCTACTGGTTAAATCAGAGAAATTTTCATATATATATATATATATATATATATATATATATATATATATATATATATATATATATATATAGTTGGCGACTCGTATTCGAGAATACCCGTATATTAGGCCGACCAACCAATCTCTATTGTAGACGCTCGCTCAGGCACATGTGTGTTTGCTCAACACCCAAAGAACCTACCTGTGATTTATGCTGCAAATATCCTGAGCAGACCTTAGTTACATTTTCTGGGATATTAACACCTCAAATTAGATAAAGAGAGGTTGAATAAGATAGCTTACTCTTACTTAATATCCTATTACAGAGCTTCCAGTAGACACAAGAGCCAAAGTTGTTAGAGTCTTTACAGTGTGTCATTCTATCAACAAAGATTTATCCCCCTTCGAAGAAGGCACGTTTACAATTATTACGTGCATGCACAAATAGAGGCCACTGAATCGTTTAATTAATTCCACCACCTACTATTGCATTTTTTAGACATATTTTTGTTAAATTACCTTTATAAAATAACATTATAACAATTAAATTTGTTTTGTTATATTACACGCGGAGTATCTGTGAAAATTACAAGGTTTTCCTATTTGTATCTTCTGATGAATCTTGATTCGTAATGTAATGATTGAACATGCTAATGTCGGGTTCTCGAATAATAAAATATCTGTAGAAATTCCTTATCGCATCGTTAAATTATTGAGCTTAAATGAAATATTGTAATAACAATTAAAAATATGAACACCAGTGATATGTCCCGGAAAGGGATATATTTGAACGAAGTAGCAAAGTGGTTTTGGCTACTATAACCAAGTAGAATACAGTAGCAGTAATCAACTGGTACGCGTCGTAGTCGCACGTAAGAAGTGTAGATCAATGGCGTAGTCCAATGAGCGTCGTTATAGACTTAGCTCTCAGACTAAGGCTCTTGACTCTGTCGTACCTACACGTCCGTCGGTATTTATGACGGACACCAGTCAATTATATTCCAGTGAGGGGGAACACAGGTGTACGCATATTCCATTATATCAGTCGGTCATTATTTTAAGAAGTAAAGAGAATTGAGAACGTTTCCATTTCCCTGAAACAGTTGTTAAACTCTTCTATATTATCTTCGTTTTTCACTGTTATATTTTTTTCATTCTTTCATTTTCTCACTGAAACCAAGCAGCGTCCTTCAAATGGCCTTTTTTTTATCATTCCAGGCACTCAGAACGGAATAGTCCATTATTTATGAGATATTGTGTTGTAGAATACCTACGGACGAGAATAAGTATGTCCCTATTCACATAAATACAGTAGTAAATACATAAATTAAATAGTAAAGATTCGTCTCCATCTGTGCTGGTAAAACTTTCTACCTCCGGGCAAAAAGGGTCCTCAGACGAGCCTATTTCGAAGAGTAGAGTCTCATCTCGGAAAACAGCTTCCCGACCTCTTTTAATCCGGGGTCTATGGGGAATTCGGCCTTGTGTCACATCTGACCGGGTGAGTAGATATCCTGCAGCTTGATTATTCATTGTGGAATTCACTTGACTCACTTCTAGCAGTTGACTACTTCTTCTACGCGCCGCTGGCGAATCTTATATGCGTTGTTCTTGTCCTAAGTATTATCGTTCATTTCCAACCTCCGTTTGATTATTCTGTTCAGTAACCTTTCCTAGATTACAGCATATTGGCAAGGCGTAACGGTCGTGATAAATATCGAAGAGACATGTAGAATTGTCATAAGATAACAAAGGTTCAGTATTCACAATTTAAATGGAAGTTATTACAACATTTGTTAGAATATCTTTTTCTTTAAATATTTCCTTGTCTTTAGTAATGATATCAAACTTCTAAAATTAAAAAAAAAGGCTCAATCTACGCGTCGCAGAATTCTGAAGTCATTTAATGACTCACAATTAAAACAGAAGCTACTGATGAACTGTTTAGTCAATTAATTCCTTGATCACAACTAATTTTTGAAGGTTCTGTTTAAATAATTATTTTGAGTATCTTATTATTGCAGGCTTGTTTGTTCAAGTCTTTTTTTGCGAACCACTCGGACATCATAGTTTACTAATTCCTCGTCTTACTTCGACGTGGCCTGAGATCGTCAACGGGTTTGGCGGATTTGATCCACCTCAATCAATATGATGTTTGGCAAGTGAAAGAAGTGTTTCAGCTATGACAGTCCAAAGAGCAATGAAAAAGGACTTGAAAATAAAATAGCACGTGAAACCAGTGAGGCACATTGTTACTCCAGGATAGAAATTTATAAAGTTAGAGAAGGGGAAGATCATCTTGAATAAGTTGGAAAATATATTGTCCTCATCTTTGTCGCCATATTTATTACAACGTTTCGACCGTTGTACGCTCCGGCCTTCTTCAGGAGGTTGGAA